TGGAGGAGGAGGCCAGAGAGACGGGCCCTGCCTAACCCCTCTCGTTTCTTTTCCAGTCCAGACCAGGTGATCCTTAAGCTTAGACCATCTTTTGCATGGACGGGAACGTGAATCAAAAAGCTTTGTTTTGTGAGACCCTTCAGGGAAAACACGGTATATCCTATTTGTTTTGTTCTTAATCGTGAACTAGTAATGTCCTCAGGTACCTAATTAGCCATCACAGGCTTCCTGGTATTGTTTAAAACACCCTTGCAAGTACATCTCCTTTTAAGACTTACTTAATGCACAATTGGAAGTTAAATTCAGCCTTAAAAGAGTCAATATTCTGTAGGTTTTTGCAGTCAGTCCGAGTTTACACGAGGAAAACTTTCCCTGCTGCATTTGAATTAAACAGTGGGTGTAACAAGCTCCATGAGCTTTAAGAAAATTGAGGGAACTTGCTTTTGAAGGTAGAGCATGAGACACCATTTCCTAATGTCCATCTTGTGAGGCATACTGACACTGGTCGAAATCTCTCAATATTTTTTCTTATATAAACAGTCCATATCCAGTCTTTTATCTGGGCTCAGTCAAAATGCATCTTATTCCTAAAAGAATAGCTTTTTTTTCCTGAAAGGAAGTGACTAAATCAGGTTAAAGTATTTACATTTGCTGAAATAAAACTGAATTCAGGTGTGCTACTAAAGTTAGTGTGTGCTACCCTTTGTGGCAAAAGTATTTTTTCTTTTTCACAGTGATGTTTTTGCTGTGATCATTCTAAATTAAAACAATAAGGCAATTGTTAGCCAGAGAATTAAGTTCACTAGTCAGAGAGCAGAAATCACCGATGTACCAAAATGGTACGTGAAATCCAAACTGTTTTTTCTGGTGCCCTTAGTGTTCTTCCAAAAGCAGTTCAAAATTGATACATAACTCATGTTATAAATTGAGACCACAATTGATCATAATCCAATTAAAATTTTATTAATTATAGCAAGTAGAATATGAGCAAATACAGCGCTGGACGGCAGGGGAGTCTGCGCTCCGCCAACTGCCGTGCTGAGCAGTTCAAACAGTCTCTTTTTATACATCTTTACTTCCATGTTCAATGAAGTAGTGGAGGCACTCTGCGCATGCCTCAGTTGTTGTTAGGGGGTCGTTTTCTGCCTCTTGGTGGTCGTTGAGGCCGAAGTAAGAAGTCTTCCTCCTTTGTCCCATAGTTGACCCCTCACTCATATGTCCTTATATGGGGTTGTCTGTCCTGTTTCTGTCGGTTCTTGGACATCTGGCGGTTATCTTGCACAAACGGTATCCGGTTTAGTTTGTGTAAGCAATTTCATATCTTTTGTTGCCTAACCTTTACATTGAGCTTAACATAAATCTTTAATAATTGAGCTTAACATAGATCTTAATAATTGAGCTTAACATAGATCTTAATAATTGAGCTTAACATAGATCTTAATAATTGAGCTTAACATAGATCTTAATAATTGAGCTTAACATAGATCTTAATAATTGAGCTTAACATAGATCTTAATAATTGAGCTTAACATAGATCTTAATAATTGAGCTTAACATAGATCTTAATAATTGAGCTTAACATAAATCTTAATAAACAATACCCTAGTCCATAGTTTCTCACAACTCATGTTTCTGTATTCATGTGTAAGAACCTTAAAAGTACAGACAAGAACGCTTCATGTTACTCGGCTATCAAATGTAGTATTTTTCATGATAAGGGATTTTATAACTGGATATTTTTCAGTAGGTGGTTGGAGGAGTGTGTTACAGCAGATTGGGTTTTCAATTCCACATCAAATTCTGCAGGTGCATCAGAAGATGCAATACAAACCATTTATTAAGGTTCTCTATCGCTCTTTCTACTCACGTAAACAATTAATTTTAGCTAGATATTCTGCAGTAACTCGCCTTTTGCATGTGCTTTTATTCCACTAAAATTTGAATTCTGGGTACGTACAAACTGTTGTTGGTGAGCTTTATATTAAAGCGTTGTTGGTTGATAATCATTTGGGAGCTTCTCCACTTTAAGTAAAGTGTTTAAGAATACATCTGCAACAAAGGGAAAAGAAGTAAAAGCACTGTAAGAGATCTGACAGTTTTATAGTTTGAATAGATCTGACAGTCTGACAGTTTTATAGTTTGAAACAAATGCCCAATGCTGAACTCTAAATCAGGATGGTTTTTGGGTAGGAGTACCTAAATGACAGTGGCTGAATGAAGAACAGTTGTTGGGCAAAATTATTGCTGATACAGTTTTTCAGTGATGTAGTAGTGCAGCCAAGACAGAAATATATAACTGTTTGTGTTTTACAGCATTCCAAGTAGAATAATCGTACCTGCTTTTGTAACTGCTTTTTTTCCTTGAGTCAGGAAATCTCAGTTGCTGCCATTCAGTTTCAACACTGCAGTTCCCAGGCTACAAGGGGACATATTTTGTAAGATGAAAGTTTTAAAAGGAGGCTGATGGATTGCTTAAAAAAGAAAAGCTTTCATTAAATTTATTGCAGGGTTTTTTATTAGAATATAAAATTTCTTGGCAGGTAATTCCATCAATAGTTGTTCACACCTTATCTTCACTTTGAAAAATCCTATGTCCACAAGAAATAATCTCTCCCACGGGTAATTAAATGTGCAAATTTCAAGAACAAACAAGCAAATAAACCTCAGTCGAGTGTAAGTTTAACATTTGACTATTTTTTACTTCCTGTCTTCTGTTACATCAACAAAATCACAGCATTCTACTGTACTATGGTAATTGATATAGCAAATAATGGCAAGTCACCTGCAGTGAAAGGTAAAATCTATTTTTAAAAGAGAAATTGAGTAAATCTACATATGTTTATAAATTTGTCCCCTGTTGTTGTAGCTGTGTGCACAGTAGGCTCTGTTATTTTTCCCAGTGGTGTTCTCAGGCACCATTTCTTGATTTGTTTGTGCATTTGCAATATTTACAGTCAGATAGTAGCATAGAATAGAACCGTGTGCTCCAAACTGGACACTCGTATTTTTGCTGACATAGTTGGTATATTATTGCAGTTGTGATCCCATTAGAACAGAAAATGAAAAGTGCATTTCTTTCAAAAATTTCAGGTTTCCCAGAACTATGAAGAGTATACAATCCTTTTTTTTATTCCATTTTCCAGAATTTATACAAAGTCCCAATTCCCTGCCTTGCTGTACCAGTTCATGTCACAGGACATTTGGTACAAAATTGATGGGGTTAATTTGGAAGAGTAGTTATCAGCATCCAATTGCTCAAACTCTGTTTTATGCTCATTTTCTTACTTGGATTAATGTGTTAGTCTTAGAACATTGGTACGCAGTTTAAATACATAAGTTAAATTTGTAATTAACAAAGCTTTGAAGAAAGATGATGGCAGAGAATATTATCATATGGCAAATATAGACTAATTTGAATGGAACATCATTTGAGACCAAATAGTAAAGTTACATTTCTCTGAAGGCAACATGTGAGGACAGAAATATACAGAATAGAAGCACACCCTGTTCTTCTAATCCAACAGTCCGAAGAGCAATGTCAACACTGAGATTCTTGCTAAGGCCTAGTTTTTTTCTTCTGTCTGGTTGAAGTATACAGTGAACTACAAAGACATTCCCTTTATGGTGACGAAATCTGGGATAAGAATTAATAAGCAGTGGATGGCTGATCTGTTTCATGGTTGCCTAGAGAGTTAATGTGAACAGTGAAGCACACTCAAAATTGCTCATCATGTAATCTGTTGTGGCCTAACCCCACAGGCAGCTAAACGCCACACCGCTGTTTGTTCACTCCCACACTGGACAGACAGTTGGGAAAAAAACCCTAAAATTTGTGAGTCGCGTTAAGGACAGTTTAATATGACAGAAAAGGAAGGGGAAATAATAGTAATAATAATGATAAAAGAAGATACAAAATAAGTGATGTACAATGAATCTTCTACTCTGTCTCGGGAACTGCTCACTGGAAACTGGAGCAGCAATTTTCCTGGAAGAACCCCTTTTTGTGAATGTTTTTCCTTGCAACTCACATACCTGTGCTTCTAGGGTTGAGGCAGATTTTCCATCCCTCTTCTGCTCCGTGGTCACACCGGCAAAACCACAGGGTGGCTCGTGGTGCGTATCCACTATATCCTCGCTCTTGAGCAGAGGCATGCTTACTCCTAATGGCTGAGATACTGGTCTGTACAGGTGGGGAGCAGGGCATATCCTCTGTGAGTTGCTGGACCTCCCAGAACAGTTTTCTGGATAGTTTTTCCACAGCTGAGACGCAGGCCCATAGGGAGGAAGAGACACTTTCTTCATATTGCCGGAGTTGGCAGCCAATTCATCCACCATCTGTTCCTCTTCGTCTTTCCATGTCATTACTGCCAGTGAGCTTGCCTGCGACGATGGTGCACTCCATACAAACTTCTGCAACATGGGTTGCATGCACCTGACTTAATCTGGATCTTTGGATAACTGCCTGTTGTTCAGGTCATCATAAATCACCTCCAGTACAGCTAATTTCCTCAGGTACTGGATACCTCTCTCCATGGTGGTCCACTTGCCTGGGCGATGTATGACATCTTCCTTGAAGGGATACCTTTCCTTCATGCCTGACAGGAGTCGCCTCCAGAGGCTGAGGGCTTGTGCCCCTTTTCCAATCTCTTTGTCAATGCCCCCTTCCCTAGAAAGGGATCCCAGCTGCTTGGCTTCCCTACCCTCTAATTCCAGGCTACTGGCCCCATTATCCCAGCATCGGAGCAGCCAGGTGACAATGTGCTCACCTGGATGACGGCTGAAATCTTTTCGCCTATCTCACAGCTCACTCAAAGTAGCCACAGTGCCTGTCGCAGGGGTAGATCTCTGGATGGTATTCTTAAATAGTTGTTTAACCCTAAACAAGACCTGAACCACATTCAGGACACATAGTAATAGGAACATGCTGGTGCGAACATCCGAAGTATATTCAAAATTCTCAAGAGCTGTTGTAACTAGCCTGAAGGAGAAAGGGAAGGTGAAGGAGCAGGGGAAAGTGTCCCCTCCTGTCTCCCCCATAGATTGGTTCTCCAAGAAGAAAAGGTAAAGAGTGTAATTATGAATAGTTTCCAAGAGGTAGCTCCTGAGGTATGGAGATGATGGCAATGCCAAGTACAAATACCAGATTAGTCTCAAGACCAATAATTTTATCGTATCATAAACCAATGTTACACAGTGCAGCAAAATTGATCCAGATCCCAGCAGTGATAAACAGCACAACAGGGAACACAGACTGCAAGTAAGATGTTACATAACACAACTTTGAGAGCAAGCATGACGACTTTAAGAGTAAATAAATCAACATTGTGACCAGTGACTATTAAACCAATATAATGAATTTTTATAGCAAATTTGCCTTAACATGCTTTGGCCATTTTGGGTCAGCTACTAGGAAGAAAGTTAACTCTATCCCAGCCTAAACCAGGACAAATCCTAATGAAATCCTTCCTAAACCTTGTAAAAACATTCCCGAATCCTTCTAAATTAAGTCTGTTAATGCAGTTAATCCAAATAGTTGCACTGTTCAGGGAATGTGTTCTGGTTATGAATCACTGGTCTTACAGTGATTTTTGAAGGTCATGCATAGTTGATATGGATGCATAGTTAAATTATTTTTTGTCAGTTATCTCAAGATAAATAATGCCTTGAGTGCTGGGATCCTTTTATTTGTGGAAAGCTCTTACTTTCCATTACAGAAAACATACTATTGCAACTTTGTTTTTTACAGCTGCAGTTATTGTAAAGACATAGACCAAGGAGGTTCTTTGGAAATTGCAGTAAAGTATCAATATAAAATTATGAACTAAGTTGTGAATAACAGTATGGGAATTTCTTGCATTTATTTCATTGTTGCAGCCACAATAAAATGCTACAATTTATGTACTGTTCTCACTGAACATGGAGAACATGAACCTGGGTCGGGGTAACCCCTGGTATCAATACAGGCTGGGGAAAGAAAGGATGGAGAGCAGCCCTGCCGGAGCCCTCAGCACAAGAAGGACATGGAAGTGTTGGAGTGGGTCCAGAGGAGGGCTACTAAAATGATCCGAGGGCTGGAGCACCTCTCTTATGAGGACAGGCTGAGAGAGTTGGGCTTGTTCAGCCTGGAGAAGAGAAGGCTGCGGGGCGACCTGATTACTGCCTTTCAGTACCTAAAGGGGGCCTATAGGAAAGATGGGGACAATCTTTTTAGTAGGGCCAGCTGTGTCAGGACAAGGGGTAATGGTTTTAAACTGAAGCAGGGTAGGTTTAGACTGGATATAAGGAAGAAATTCTTCCCAATGAGGGTAGTGAAACACTGGAACGGGTTGCACAGAGAGGTGGTGGAGGCCCCATCCCTGGAAACATTCAAGGCCAGGTTGGACGGGGCTCTGAGCAACCTGATCTAGTTAGCGGTATCCCTGTTCCTGCAGGGGGGTTGGACTAGATGACCTCTAGGGGTCCCTTCCAATCCAAAACATTCTATGATTCTATGATTAATGGATTGGATGTAAAAGGGATAGTAGAAACTTATTACCATCTAACTTATAGTAGAAACTTAGTGCCATCCTAAATTACCAACTGAAAACTGGTCACAGATAAGCATATTCCTAGGGTTCCAATTCATATACTAAATAAGAAAGTCAGTTTCTTATTTTTAATTTCAATACATTGTATACTTTTGTTGCCAAAGCAGGACATGAGTTAGAATAAAACAGATAGAGGATGAAAAAAACCCCAAACAAATCACTTAATTATGTGTGGAGTAATATTTTTTAAAGTTACTAATATTTCGATATTGTCGCAATAGTACCAGGATTTTGCTGAGTAGTGATTAATAGTATGACAGATTCACCTGTCACTGTTCAGCTGTAAGCAAGTCACCGCTCTCTTAGAAAAAATAGCTTCTTATCTCTGTACCAATTCTTGATTTCCCTTGAGAATAAAAAAAAAAATTATAATCTTTGAAAATATTGGCTAGTTTGACATGTTAGTTTTCAGCAGAGTGATTTTGCCATTTTCAGTCAGGAGTTAGATGTAGAATACTTTCAAACACTGAAAATCATACTTGTTTCCTAAGAGAGCTTTGTACTGTATTAATCTCTTGGCCTTTGCTGGGGGGAAAAAAAAAGAAAAACCCAGACTAATCTGTCCTAAATCTGAATTTTTCTTCTGTTCAGACCAAAGGGTTAAATCTACAAGAGGGAATTAGACTTAAAAGGAGAGAGGCAAGCTATTCACACTCCCTAAAATTCAGTAATAATTGAGGTCCATTGACTATACTGTATTTGTAAGGTAATGGGAACTCTGAACTCCCTATCTAATCCATGGCAAAAGGTAGGCACCTCACCAGACAGTGATTTAGAGCAGAGGCCTCATTAGGTCTTTCTCTCCATTAGCCACACAGGGAACAATGCAGTTCCTGCTACTGGATACCCTGCTGCGCAACTTCAAGCAGTCACCTATTTTCCTTACACAGTGCAAGGGGAGAGTTATGTCTAAGAGCATGATTCATTTGTACGCTGAGACGGGTACTGTCTGGAAGTGCCATGGAGTTGCCTAGATGCCCCTCTCCAGTCTGGATTCATAGCAGTGAACCACCTCCTTTGGTCAGATATCTAAGCAAAGCAAATTTTTTTTCAAAAAAGAGAATGTGGCAGCTTCTTTAAGCTGCTATAGCAATGTGTTGATACCTGGATAATCAGTGGTGCCTCCTTCCTCTGGAAAGTGGAAAGCAATTGATCCTAGAGTTTCTAACTCCTAAGAAGATATGCAGGAGACTAGAATAGACTCTGTTCTGAACTGAGGCTAACTCCGTCTCTCTTATCGGAGTGCTTTTATTTTGCATAACTAACTTCGTTTTTAACTAGAGCAATGGCTGGAACCAAGGTCGTTTAGATTAGCCTGGAATTATCCAATCTAATTTTTAGCATCTGACTGCTGAACATAGCCATCTCAGACTTCATATTTTGTAATAAAACTATCTCTGGAAGGATATTCTGATCTTAGGCTGTGATCTTGCCAATAATTGTAACAGGAACTTTTGAGAGTATGAATTTAATTTTGGCTTGTTGGGAGTGAATCTGCATCTTAATGGTGTAGTAATTACGTTATGTTATTAAGTATTCAGTATCCATCTACACCCATTACTTTTTTTTTTTTTTTAATTGAAGGGAAATGCTTTACTTCTAAAGAGATTCCTCTTCCTTTCTCCATCAAAGTAGCTAATCACCCAGTGATAATGGCCATTCCTTTGGTGGCAGGAGATCAACAGTCCATATGCCACTCCAAATCAGATTGAGTGCTTTGAACCTAGCTGCGTTAGTCCTTGTGTGACTATTTTAAGCCAGCAAGAGAGAGAGTTGCAGAGACGTCTACAATGTTCTCCTCCATGTTTATGTTCAACAGTTGACCTGGTAAACATTACAAGAAACTACATCTTTTGGAGCAGACTCTGAAAGCAGGATGTGTAGAGATAGTCAATTCCATATACATATGAAGTATAAAGAAACCGGTTATCTTCAAGCCTTGATGCTTGTGCACATCCTAAGGGCAGAAAATTGGCTACAGCAGAAACTTAGCTTCCTGGTAGCATAGGTATGTTCAAGGCTAGGTAGCACTGACGCTGAATGTGGGAAGCCCTAGTTTTTGACTACTTATGACTCATTATAAGACCTCTGAGATCAAACTATTGCAGACTAAGTATTATAATTTTTTATGTGTGTTAGAAAGCAAAACTGGAGAAAAAGAGAGATCTGAAAATATATGTATTCCTTCAGAAATGTTCAGTGTAGTGCACAAATTATGACATTTCAAAATTCTGTAAGCATATTAAACAATACCAAGTTTCTTTCCTGAGTGTTTCTTTCAAAAATATTGTGCACAAAGGAGAAAACATCTTTTGCAATTCTTAAATTATAGATTAATATTGGAGAAGAATTGACTAAGACCTAGCCTAAATTCAGAAATGAAATGTTTGGAAAATAATTGGAAAAAACAAAGTTATTTTATAAATTTGTACTGAATATTATAGACTCCTTGAAGGTTCTTATTCCCTTCCCAGTTAAATCCTCTGCTTGCTTTTAGATACTCAGATCCATTAGCATAGACACCTCTACCCATTCACAATAGCATAATCTAATTTATAGTCATAGTTTAACTTCATTTGGAGGAATAAGTTTGACAGCAATGTGCAACTGCCTCAGGGTGGGAAGAGCAGATCTTACTGAAGATGGATATTCATGGGATAAGTACAGAAAACCTACCGAGCAACGTATGAACAGTGCTCATAACTTTACTGCATCTTGAGACACAGTTCAGTGCCAGTAGTTTTCCTTGTTTTGTTGATGGATATTGGCTCCTTCCAAATTAAGTAAAAGTTACGACATTTGTCTGGAGGAGAAAAGAAAGTATTTAAAACT